TTTTTGTACTTCTAATATATGAGAATTAAATTCCAAATTTTATTTTAAAATTCAAATCCAATTATTTTTGTAATTTAATTTTTGTTTCAAATTATGTAAATTGATCAGAATTGAAAATTTTGAATTTGAACATATTAGGTTGCATTTTTTCTTTATTATAACGAAAAGTTCCTTTAAAAAAAAAAAATCGACTTTTATGTTTTTCAAAAATTTAAGCTTTCCAATGTTTAATTTTTTGTTTTTTTCTTTTGTAAAGAAGAAATTTTTCTATGTTTATGAGAGATTTAAATTTGTTAAATAGGAATTTAAAATTGTTAGATAGAAAATTTGCATACAAATGTATTTTTATCCTTTTTGTTCTATTAATTAATTCATTGATGCTATGATAGATGTTAATTGGGGATCATCCACACAAGCTCATACTTATAAGAATGCACTGCAAGCTATGCAAAAATTATCCAATACCGAAGAGCATGTAAAAAATTACCGACCGCAAATACTGTTGTTAGCCGGTAATCCGGCAGCGCGACCATCACTTGTTGATTTTGCTTATAATATTACAAAAGGATCAAGTCTGATGATATGTGGTTTCGTGGTACCGGTATGGTTTTCGTTTTTTGTTTTTTTTTTTTTAAATAATTATAATCTTGAAAATTGTTAACTTTTATTCAATAGTAATATTGGAAATATTTGCTGGTTAGAAAAATTGCACATTTATTCAGTTAATTAATCTCTCATTACGAAGCTTATTAATAAGTTTTTTTTTTAATAGGCTTATTGATAGGTTTTTTTCGAAAACTTAATTTATTACCTCAATATTTGATACATAATTAGCAAAATTTATCAGCAAAAATATTTCTTATCAAACAAAATGTTGAATATTAATCGGTCAGATGAACTACACATACTGAAATTGTTTTATTCCAAATGAAAGGATATTGCGAAATTAAATTTTTCTACTTACTTTTTTTTTTACTTTTCTTCTAAATATATGTTGAAAAAAAAAAAATTTTGCAAATTTTAGTATGAGCCGTGTGATCGAGTGTTTGCGCTGCTTCGAAAATTGGATGTTCAAATGAACGAATGGTTGAGAAAGCGTCACGTAAAATCGTTTTACGTTTCCGTAGCTAGTCCTAGCTTACGTACTGGTGCCCAAACGCTACTTCAAGTAAAGTTTTATATATTTTTTATTTTTTATTTTTGGAAGATAATTATATTTCATATAATTTATATTTCATATTTATAGTTATGGGAAATATTGATGGAAGTGAAAGATACGAATTATTAATTTTGTTTTTCAGATATCTTAATTAACTTTGCTGAAAATGATATATCTTTTTTCTAAGGTTACCGGTCTTGGAAAATTGAAACCAAATATTTTGATCATTGGTTTTAAAAAAAATTGGGCAGAACGTGGTGTGGAAGGATTGGGTGAAATTAATGATTATTTTGGAGTCATTCAGTAAGTTTCTAAAGTTCATTCATTCGTACTTCTACTTTAAATTAATTGATTAAATTGTCGAAATGATTAAGATGAGTAAGATTGGTGATAATAAGTATTACAGTGATGATTAAAATTGATAATAATGAATGAATATTATCAATAATAGGATGAAGTTGTCGAATCATTATTGTATTGATAAAACTTTGCATTTGACTCATTCTTGGATTTAATTTAATTTCATTAATTTCTTATAAAATTCTTATACGGAAATGAATTCAGTAAATATATTAGAAACCAGAAACGAAGGTAATTAAAAATTGTACTAAAATTTTTCCTTTTTTGTTATGATTCAGAGATGCTTTCGAAAGTCGAATGGGAGTAGCGGTGCTGCGAAATTCTCGAAGTGGTCTTGATTACAGTGAACTGATGAAACGGCATAATGTAGGTGATACGGCACGACTTAATTTACCGGATATTACGCAATCTTCAAATTCGACAAAAACAGAGTAAGTGGTGCACGAAATGACTAAGTTGAGTTAATATATTTACTAATATAACTTAGGCTAAGAAAAAAAGGAAAATAAATGATTATTAATTGATAATGTAATGTATATTAAAAATAAAATTAAATAATCAATCTTTTCTTCTTTTCTTTTCAAATTATCAAATTTCAGCAGTGGAACAACCAATCTTGATATGCAAGAAACGAAATTGACAGAAAACGATGCTAAGATTACTGAAAAAAAGTATTTCGATTAATTTCTCTCAGATGAATTGCAATATTTCTTTTTCAATTAATCATTAAATTTATTTGCAGTAGCGATAATTGATTAAGTTTAGTTCAAATAATATTTCAGAGCCGAAAATAATTTACGACAAAATATGGACAATGATCAAGAACAAAATGATAATGGATGTTAGCACTTTTATAATTTTAATAATACAAACAAATTAGAATCATTAAATAGTTTTTAATTAGTGAGGAAAAGATGAAATTGCTAACACATTTAAAAAATATCAAGAAAAAATTAATGTAAAATCTTATCGATCATATAATCAATCAATATCGTTTATTCGAATAGAAAGAAACAGAAATAAATCTAATATTATCATAGATTGATATAAATTTAGAAATATTTTTTCTATATCAATTCAAATTGGGATCAATAGTGCAATTTATAAATTGCGCTTCAATTAAACTAATAGTTTGAAATTAAAATATTTATGTCATTTTATGTTTTTGTATGCGATGGCGTTAATAGTAGTAGTAGTAGTAGTTGAATGCAGTTATTATAATTAAATGTCGTATTTTTGATATACCATTTGCCAATGAATGATTTTATCAATACTTCGATTTTCCGGAATAAGATCACAGAAGGATGATTTTTAAATGAAGACGATTTTTTACGGTCAAAATTCGGTTAGCGTAAAAGCATAACCTAAAAGCATTGATGATCCATATTACATTTATCATTTTTAAATATTCACGTGTGAATATGTACTAAATATTTGCATGCTGTTTTTTTTCTGCTAGAATGTGAAGTTTGAATGAAATATGATTTCGAAAAATTTTTTGTAAAGTTTCAGTTTTAAAATTTACTTCATTTTCAATACATCTCTTTCAGCGATGCGATTGCATCGACAAAAAGCTATTGATATAGGAAGTAGCGGTCAAAAAATCACAGCGGTCAGTACCGCTAATTTGGATACATTCGCAGCTACAGCAAATACAGGCGATGCTTTGAATGTAGAACATTTTGATTCCATTAATGAATCACTACTTTTTGGCAATATTCTGCATCTTGCGGGTAAATTCAACTCCTCTCTTCATACCTGAAGAATTTAACATTTCATATTTCGATAGGTCATTCATTCATCATCGGTCACTATTGTGCTATGCGGGTAAATATATTTCATATGCTGAAGAGCAAAATAACACTTAATGCTTTTGTTAGCTCACATGATAATTTGGATAGATCATTTCATTTTATGATGATATATCATCATCGATCACTATTCGTGCTATCATCCATCTATTTTGCATTTTTTTCTCTTCATTTTTTTTTCCTTTCCAGTTTTCTGAAACTGTTTGAATGCTTGAATCGTTTAAAAAAAAAAAAAAAAAACATTTTGACATTTTACGCTTCATTTTTTTTTTTTCAAGGCATGCAATTTGTGCATTTGTTTATTTCGGTGTTTTGCTTTTTGGTTTGTATATTATTGACATTTGCATGCATGCATTCGCTTTTTTCATCAGTGAAACTAATATCTGCCTGAAATTTTTGGGTTATTTACCTATTCTTTTTTTTGTAGTGAATAGTTAATTTTTTTTTAGCGACAGGTTCATATCTGGCCAATTGTCCATTGGAATGTTTTGATGAGGAAAAAAATGAAGCTGAAATGAATGGTGCTATTGTGGGAAATGCTAATGGTGATTTGGAAGAGGTTTGAATTTTGTTTTTTTGCAAAATTTACAAATTTAAAAAATTATGGTTAAAATAAAATAAAGTGAAAAATTGATAGAGGATTTGCATTGCACGTATTATTAAACTTTTCATCAACATTTGGAAGAAAAAAAATCATTGAAAATTCAGTTTGGAAAAAGAAATTTTTTTTTTTCAAAATGTTACAAAATGTAAAAGTGTTGTTTTTGGAATGGAACAATTAATTAATTGCGTGAATGCAAATAAAATGAGAAAGTATGATTTTTTGTTGGTCAAATTTAATTAGATAATAAATAACTTTCGTCTAATTCAAATTTCATTTAGAAAAAATTTTTGCATCATTCAGAATAATCTTTTGTCAATCTTTTTATTTATTTAATAATAAAATTTTTTCAATTTATTCCATTCCACGAAATATTTTTTTATGATTTTAATTTATTTATTCGTTTTTTGATACATAAAAAACAAGCGAAATACAAATCATAATTTAGCACAGTTAATTCCGTTATTCAATTTTATTTTTTGCTTTGATGAGCTAACGCTTTCACGCTAGCAAATATTCGACATGAAGTTGCTAATTAGCAGAAGTAAAAGAAATTGGAAATTATTTTCCAATACTCAATTAATATATATTGCAGATTTTCACCTAACCAAATTAATTGTTGGTCGTTAATTTTACACGTGTACGTCCACCACAAAAAATATGTTGCAAAATTTGTTCGTTTTCATAATTTTTGTATATGGCTAAAATGAAGCAAACATAGTAAAGGTGATAAGTTGGCAATAAATTAATGATAAATTATTGATCAACGCTTTGTAGGATTGTGATGAATATGCGGATGAGAAAACACGACTAACAAAAGGTAGCAATGATGATAAGCAGATATTAACACACGAGCAGAAGCTTCGAAATCATCGTTATCGTCATATTGCTATCATTAATCGTAATAACAGTAATAGTGTCGATGGTGCTAATATTGATGATGTTAATAATGTAATTGATAAGGATAAGGTCCGTCCGCTTTCTCACATCTGTTTTATTAACATTAACACTTCTTTTTTTGTCTTTATAAGTTATCATTTTTTTGCTTTAATTATTTCAACTTCGTTATCACATTCATAATCTGAATATTTTCAAATATTGAGTATTGTTTAAGGAAAGGAATTATTTTATTTTTAATGTTACATATTTTGCAATTAATATTTTTTGATTTTATTTATAATTAATTTGCTATTTAACTTATTCAATTGCTTATACGGTGATTTTATCATTTACTTATTATTTCATGCTTATTTTATTTGTTATGCATGAAAGAGCACTTAAATAGCATTGAGAAAGTTACATTGTTTTGATGAATTGATCGATTAGGTCAATTTTAATTGCCAAAACAATGTGACTTTCTAAGAATGATCAAAAATCTGAACGGTACCAAAAGATTTATTCAATGGTTTTCATCATATTCATTTTAAAAGGGCCAATAATTTTACTGCTAGTAGTAGCATTAATAGTGATAACATAGCATATTAGCATACCGGATAATTCTGAAATTGATCAGATATATTCCTTATTAATTTGCTTAATAGATCAAAAATTAATACCAATAAGTTAATAGCATAATACTAATTCATTGATAGTATTGATTATAACCCTTGATAGTTCGTATTTCCATAACATTTCGTTAATTTTCTTTCGCAGGGGATTGATTTACGATATTGTGGGGAATTTTAATAATATAAAAGAGGTAAATTTGATCCGTTACTAAAAACATCTCAAATTTGATAGGAATATTAATTAAAATTAGTAATGCAAATATTTTTATCAATTTGAATTTAAGACTGATAGCTAGGACTACAATTCTCAACTTAATATACTGAATGTGTTTAATTTTTCAGGTACTTGAAATACCTGAAGCACTCAGGCGACATTCGTTACATGACAGTTTTCGACGGTAATTCTCTTTAGTAAACTTTTTTTTTTCGCAATTTTGAATATGCAATATTGAAGCTTAAAATTTCGGATGAAATTTAGCAAACAATCATTAAATCAAACAAATATTTAGAATGGGGAATATAGTTTCAATCATATCCTCAAAAGTTTAATAATTTAAATGAAAGAATTTAAATAGCACTCGTGTAAAAGAGCTAAGAAGGAGACAAATTTATAATATAATACAAACTGGAATAACAAAATCGTACAATATTGATCGTAATACCTAACCCAAAATTTTGCATGCAAAATTTAAATTTTATTTAAATTACTAAACTTCTACCATCTCAGTTATAGGATTTAGATTGTAATTAAATTATCTTTTAAGATATGTAAAAATTAATATTAGAAAAAAAAAAACAGTGATTGGAATTCAGACGATATAGGGCACGGGAAAATGGACATCTGAACGGGTGTGTATTAAATTTTAATATTTATGATGTGATTGTTGTTACTGAATTAAATAGCAATGAAATTCTTTTTTTTTTTTTAAATTTTTGTTCATGCAAGCTTTATTTTATAATAGATTTGCTTAAAATTTTATTTTTTAAAATTTGAGGCATAAATTTTTAAAATTACTTAAACAAATAGATAGATAGATAGTTTAATTGTATTTTTCTTCTTCTTCTTTTTAACGCTTTAAAAGATGCATTCTTTTTTACAACATTTCAGTGGTATAATGAAATCTTCCTACATTCCTTCCATGATTTAATTTTATTTGATTTATATTTCACATGAAATGGGAAAATGATAATCATTTTAATTGATTAAAATTATGCGCTATTATTCATGTTGAAATGATTCCCCTTTATGATAGTGATAGTAATTGAACTGCTTTGCTAGCATTTATAGGTATTTTTGCATTATTATCACTTATGTTTGTTTATTTTATTTTAATTCAGCTTATTTAGTTAAATTTTTTTCCGCTTTTTTTTTCCTTTGCAACATTTTTATTTTAGATCACATCGTCCAACGGCAGCACAACGTGAACTCGTCGCATCAATTTGTCGTTTTCATCGTAAAATCAAAGGTGCAGTAATTGATGTTTGGTGGTTATATGATGATGGTGGCTTAACTCTTCTCATTCCACACCTATTAACATTACC